TATTTTGTGTTTTACTAGTACGTGTATTATGTTTTATCAGATCTGACATGCTGTCCCCATCCTGGTTGCTTTAAATTTTCTTTTACTAACTGACAGTGGCGCTCAGCGGACAACATTAATCTTTAGCGAGCAAATTATATTGGTCTTTATTTCATGGCACATTACGTTCCCTGCACCATTACAATGCGATACTTTTCACAGCTATATATATATATATATATATATATATATCAAGAGTAGATAATAACACATGTGTTATTATCTACTCTTGATATATATATATATATTATCGTTTTATACATTTTATATGTTTGTAGACGATACGGGAAATTTTACTTGTAGATGCGCTATACGATATCTCTGTTGCGTAGTGTTAGGCTGGGTGAATGCATATAGTCAATGCATGGTCTACGCACCACCGAGTACCATAGGCAATGCATACATAACCCAATAAACAACATTCTCAGTAGATCTGATCTTTAATGCATGACTGATTCAATGGACATATTTTCTAGTGCTCTCTCATATAATTATAGCAGTGATCACATTAGGAACTCTATTCAATCTACAGTTTTACCATATTAATCAGTGTGGTTATAAGTTTTAGTATGTGCGTTGCCCCCATCTTGTATAAGTTGGTTTCATCAGTTGTTGAGGTTTTCGTGTTTACTGTTACCTGGTAAAATTTTAGATACATAGCTCGTTTATTAGTTTTAGTAAGTGTACATCATACACTTTTGGCACTTTGAGCTGCCCCTGGTATTGCTACGCGTCACTTGTTTAAACTGGAAACCTTTTAGGCCTACTGCACCAATGGTAATCAGCTTGCAATCTCATATCATCATTTTTACTACATCTATCGTCATTTAATAAATAAATAAATAAATAAATAAATATATATATATTATATATATATATATATATATAATAAATATATAAATAACCTGCTTATTACTAGTTATAAGCTATATTAATGAATTTGAATAGCCAACCATATCGATGCGGCTATTTCGTGCATTATATGTGGAAAATTTCCAGTAATTCAGACAGATGAGCAGCCCCGCCAATCTCATCTATCCATAGATCTATCTATACAATGTCCATGGCGTACATAACCGCATGCCTACATCGTATGACTCATCTCGCAGGCACAGCAATTACGATTTTGTGGAGTGCGAGTGAAACTATCGGAACTTCTACAGTCTAGAAATACGAATTTTGCCTCTGCTTTTGCTTTAGAAGTATCGATGCGCGCGCCCTCTGGGGACGAGCCACGGTCGTGGCGTGAATGAAGAACTCTATTAGCTCGAATACGAAGTTGGCCGAGCCGTAACCTCGGGAGCACGAGCTGTTTGATTTCCTACGAACGTGCAGCCTAGCGGCGAGTGAACATTAACCGTCCTTGACGAATTAACAACCGTCGGCTCAGATGTTCCAATTTAGTTTTACGCTGAATTGATGTTATAATTATGAGCTTTCGCTACCATTCGATTGCGCCAGGTTCAACTACTATCTGCAGAGAGATGTTATATTATGCATGGCCGTCCCTAAAGGCACCTTACTCGGCATGCCACCTAATGCACCCGTCGTTTATAGGTGCCATCCACAGGCAGGCATTCACATTGGTGGCGATAGCCGAAATTTCATGCTTTCCTTGTTCCTTTTGACGATGTTAGTGCGCCCGACTTTCGCCTTTACGCCTCGTCATCTTGACTGACGGTAAGAAATATCAACGAAACGAAGAAAAAATCAAGCGCGATCATATCTCCGCCGCAATATTGGCTTCATACTGGCTTCAGATTATTACTTTCGGCTTTTTTTTGGCAAGGCGAGACTTCGGTAGCACGCATAGCTGACATGTACACATTTCCGAGCAAACTCGTTAACCGTTCTTGGGCAATGTCGAGTAGAGTAGACTGTATACGACAGAGAGAAGCGCGAAGAGGTGACGTGGCGTGCTCAGAGCGAGTAAGGTGTTTCATTCACTGCCGTTAGCACGCGTTGAGCGATTAGTGTGCGGTCGTTGCGGACAAGCGTGATAAATGATGGCGAGATAGATCATCGATTACATTACTGACAGGGAGATTAAAGCTACCATCGGTGTAATAACGCTATGAGTATAGTAAACATAGATGTTATAATGTACTTCTCGTAAAGTTTATCTAAACAGCGGATATTACGTGAACGCAACGTTAGTATCAAGCGGAAAGTCAGAAAACCATGCAAATAACACAAGAAATTATTGTTGATTCGGGCAGACTTTTCCAATATACCTTCTCCCTCCCCCATCCAACCAGCCGATCGAGTGCAATGTTTAGTACAGTCACCATCCATGACAAATATCTCTGTGGTGATTCATTACAAATCCTATTAACTGTTTACGAGCGTTTCGTAATCAAAACAATTTCTAAAACCATTTCGTACTGTAGTGTCCGCTGATCGATACGGCGAAAAAGCGATCGTTGTAGACGGAATGAACGCTGAATAGCAGAAACATTACGAATCGACTTGATGTGAGGCGTCTGCCGCGTCTGTTGACTGTGTTTGTTTTACGCCATGAATTCTTACATTCGTATGTCAGTCGTCGACACTGCCGTACCCAAACACCAGCAACATGTTGCAGACTGAGAAATGTGCGCCAGAGCCAAGAACTTGGAGACAGATATCGCAAAACAGATCGCAACGAGCATACTTCACGCATGCTAGCGTACACTATACTTCGCCCATATTGAGTTGATATATAACCAGTTGAGCTGAGCGATCTAGTCAGCTTCCACCGGGCACTTGGCGGAGCAGCCCGTGTCAATATTCCGCCCACTGCATCCAGCGCCGCGTAATCTCCATTGCCTAGCAACGCATTAAGGAGAAGCAGTCGCGCCAGGGAAAATCTAAAGTTGCGCACGCCGAGCTGTGACTGCGTGTTAATCGGAAGGCAGGAGAAGCACAGGCACTTGGAGGCGTTTCAATAAAATATAATACTAAATAAATACGAAATCTATTTACTACCAAAGTCTTAATGTTTCTATACTCTCTTTCATCTATTATTGCCGACAATTTCCTGCAAATGCCGTCCAAATACTCATCTCCAACAAACGCTGGCTGTCAGTGTGCAGCGGCAGCCATGGCGGCTGGAGTTTGTTGTAAATGAGCATTTGGATGGCATTTACAGGAAATTGTCGGCAATAATAGATGAAAGAGAGTATAGAAACATTAAGACTTTGGTATTAAATAGATTTCGTATTTATTTAGCATTATATTTTATTGAAACGCTCCAAGTGCCTGTGGGGAGAAGCTATAGGGGACGTTAACCTGGAAAACCCACTTCGCCTATAGCGGAACGACATAACTAGATTTCATCGAGGGACGCTGAATTAACTAAATGCCACCTGCGCTCGATTACAGACTGTAGTAAACTGCGGTCGTGCGCGGACACATATCTCGTAGATCGTTACCAGCGATATTGGCTTACTCGCTTAATGACTTAGCCTCGGCTTATTTGATATTCGATCGTCGCATGCTTAATGCCGACCGTTACCAGAAACATTATACGTCGTCATTGAGTACTGTATGTCTATGCTGTTTCTACAATATCAACACGATCGAAATCTGTTCGAGCTATTAGCAGCTTCGGTATTTGCTTTTCTTTACCCAGTATTATATCGCATTACAGCGGCCGTATGATTTCTAGTATTGCTGCGCTGTAATTGTTCAACAACTATAATAATTGTAATAATACTAATAATGTAGAACTGTTATGTTAGCGGAGTATATCTGCTTGTGGCACTGCTACTGCGATGCTATATATTGGTCGATTATTGTATCGATGCTGCAAGGCATCGCTCTTGTTGCAGCGGTATATGTAGTGTAGTACTAGCTTGAGCGTATCGGCATATAAAACTATAAAATCGTACAACCCGCGACTGTATACTTATAAGGCCGCAAGTGCGCACGCTTTCTTACGGGATCATCCTAATTAGTTCAGTGGTTATGTTCGTGTGACTCTCGTCACGTCAGGCAATCGTATGTAGACTATTAACAGTGAACAACCAATAATAACTATAAGTATTACCAGGAGTAAGATAATATAGGATATATATATTATCTAATCCTAATATAATATAATATAAATATATATAAAATATAATATAATATAATATATCCTATATTATCTTACTCCTGGTATTACTGTGCATAGCTATGGAGGTTATCGCTGTATCAATGGGGCAAGTGATAATTGTATATCTCCTGTAGCGGCTTGTTCACTACAAAACTCATAGCGACATGAAGCGCTGCCTTTACTTCTACACACTGCAGCGGCGCGGGTACATTGTAGCTCGGCTCAACACAGTATAGCACGTACGGGATTCATAAACCGTCAATATAATCAAAGTGAAATCAATCTAAACACGGACGTTATTAAACTTCAATGAACACTCGATAGGCAACACAATAGCTATTTAATTACCGATGAAATATATAAGCAGCAGCTGACGTTGACGTTATTTTCCTACTCGTTCTCATGGAACCTATTCCCGGAGGAAACTATCACGGCTGCCCACCATGGTGACATGTTTGTTTTTCAGGTAAAAACAGTAAACCGCCCTCTCTCCTCTTTACCGCCCAATTCAGTTATTTTATGTTGTTCATGAATGCTAGAGAGGAAATCTCCGGGACAAATTACAACACGTGCCTTTTGGTCCCTGTGGCAAGTTTGATGTTAATTGGATTGTAGCCAGGTGCGATTCAGACGTTTTCTAGCAGGAGGATGTCCAGATACGTGCAGGTTAGTACTCGCCTGAATTGTAGTGACCTTGAACGGTTGCAAGGTTATGACAGAGTCGCGCACGTACGTCACTTCCGAAATAGAGTTAGCTAAGCTCAGCATGTTAATTAGTTAGTTGTGTCGGCTTTACAGGCGTGCACACAGAGCTCCAGCCCTAAAGGTAACATTCTTTGTAGGTGTAATGGGATTAATCATGCCTATTAATAATTTAACTCACCTGGCCTGCACATAGTCCACAGATACCGATGACGAATAGGATGTTGAAAACCGCAGAGCCAACTATAGTCCCTGTGCCGACGTCACCCTTAGCAACAAAGACGCCTAGAACAATACAGCAAACCCTTTTAACACGTTAGAGTTTAACGCACATTAAATACACACGCAAGCGCGCAAGCGCACACGCACAAGCGTGCACATGCACATTCACACTTCACACAATTTTGTTTTATCATGCACGCCTTTCGCATCATGCACGCATTCGTTTTTGAGAAAGAAATCCCTTGCGTTGAATGCTTAGCGGATAATCGCGGAAATAACTAAAGGGGTTTTCGATCGCCAATGAAAAGACCCAATATATTTTGATAATTGTAGATCTTGCTAGGTAGTCACACTGTTAGGGACGCCACGGATTATTTGGGACATATGTATACGAAGCCAATCAAACCCGTTGAATTTGTGATAATGTATAATAGTAATGTATGTAGTAGTATGTAGTAAAAATTAAGATCATCACAAACGGAGAAACGTGCACCTATAGTCTATGCTCACGTTCTTTATTTCAAATTCACACAGTCACACACGCACGCGCGCACGCACGTACGCACGCACGCACGCACAGACGAACACAGACGCGTACACCCCCATATATATATATATATATATATATATATATATATATGTGTGTGTGTGTGTGTGTGTGTGTGTGTAGGCCCCTATGTGTATATATATGTGTGTGTATATAATTATCTAGATATTATTTGCATAATATATCTATCTTTCTTTCGCAATCAGTTTCTCTCTCACATTCACGTACATATTTACAAGAGCTAATAATACCTATTAATTAGGTATTATTAGCTCTTGATATTTTTTATTCGTATCATACAACTCCTACAATACATAATATACATAAATGTATGTGTATATACGTGTCCTGCAGAATCAATACGCTGGTGGTAATATGCGGTATATGACACCATTTGCGGACTTCACTAGTAATAGATTGTCGGAGTCTTACCTATGATAGACGTGAATAACTCCGGAGCGGAGCTTCCCGCCGCCATGAATGTTGCTCCCGCTACATCCTCGCTGAATCCCAGTTGCTAGGAGACGAGAATACAAGAATGAGTTAATTTTCTACACGAGTTCACGCAAAGCTATGTTTTTCGTGTAGCCGTACGCTATAGCTATATCTCAACTCCATTGCTTTTGATCAGTAACGCATATTTAATTACTTCGACAAAATTGTGCTTGTGCGACCATAGCGGATTAAAAAGATATTACAGTCTGCACAGGATTTGCTGCCATATATGCTTTATCTGTTAATAATACTATAATTACATTATAATTAAATGAATACACACATATACAACACCAACGAACGAATAAACGAACGAATGAATGAATGAATGAATGAATGAATGAATGAATGAATGAATGAATGAATGAATGAATGAATGAATGCACGAATCAATCAATCAATTAGTCAAGCAAGCAATCAATCAATCAATCTAGCAATTAATCAATCAATCAATTAATCAAACCAAACAAATCTAACAATCAAACAATCGAGCAGTTTGGTTGCAAAAACAGATAAATAGATATATACAATAATGAGCTGTCTTGAATGTCAAATTGTTATTTACCTAAACAACTGTCATCGATATTTATAGCTATAAATTATAAACGAGCGTGCGTGCGTAAATATAACAAGTACGCTCTCCTAACGACTTCATAATTAACGTGTGAAAAAACAACAGTGAGCATGTGTTATTATTTTCACTATAATTATGGGATTATGGTCAGGTCCCAACTTAACGGTCTCAGTTAATTTAACACCCATGAATATTGATTTTTAATGTTTAGCAAGAAAATCCGTTTCGCCAATATTCACGTTGTACACAATAAAGAAATCCTCAATAGGTATGTGTCCTTCAAGCCGTCAAGAGGTTTCAAGAAGATAAATAAATATAGAAATATAGAAATATAGAAATATATAGAAATATATATATATATATATATATATATATATATATATATATATGTATGATCAATAAGCAAGCAGACGCCAAGATAAATATGTGTCTGGTAGTGGTTAGGGTATGTCGCTTGCGCACGTCAGGAGAAATTGCTGGGAAACCGTGTGTGGAAATATTGGCGTAGCATTCACGTAGCCTATTCGCACGGGCACCTGGAACGTTTTAATAATAAAATGATAATAAACAAACACGAAATGTATTTCCAACCAAATTTTTAATGTTTCTCTACTCCATTTTGCCTATTATTAGTAATAACTTTACGGTTCTGAAGTGGTTGTCATTGCCGGGGTAGTAAGGTTTCTCAGCCTATAAAATGCCCCAATGGCTTGCGCAAAATTTAGCCTTTGACAACCAAAGTCCAGCTCCTGGCCTTCACGTGGCAGAACCGTTTTCACTAACAGGAGAAGGGGCAAAGGCGGGTTACTGGCGCCTTAACCAGTTTGCTGTCTTCGTGGTGTTTCCATCTACTGTCTCCTGGTTATCATCCTTTGGGGTCCTTTCTGGTCTGGCTCCTGGTTGATGGCAGCCTTTCAGAACCCAGCTCTCTAGATGCTGTGATTTCTAGGTTGGTGTTAGGAAGGGCATCCAGCCGTAAAACCGCTGCTCCATTAAAAGTCATGGTAGTTCATAGTAATCGTATCAGAGAAAACGGGACTCCTAATGTCGTTAACGGTAGGGTGGGTGTCGGACGTGGGCATCGCCAGATCGACAGCCTGCGACCGCGTCAAAAGTTTCGTATTGCAACATTGAATGTTGGCACAATGAGAAGAAGATGTAGCGAGGTGGTTGAGACTATCTCAAGAAGGAGGATTGACCTATGCTGTCTACAGGAGACTAGGTGGAGAGCTGGGTCAGCTCGCATGATTAGTGAAAAAGACTCAAAGTACAAGTTCTTCTGGACTGGCAATGATAAGGCTACCGGTGGAGTTGTAATTTTTCTTGCTCAGAAATTGGTAGATAATGTATTTGACATTAAGCGTATTTCTGACAGAATTATCCTCATCAAAATTACTGTTGGTGTAAACATCCTAACCATTGTTTCAATATATGCTCCACAAGTGGGTCTGGACGATAAGATCAAGGATGCCTTCTACGATGAGCTTCAGTGCACCGTGGCCAAGAATGGGGAATCTGAGACCCTGTTCCTCTGCGGTGACTTCAATGGTCACATCGGAAGTGTATCCGCTGGTTATGAAGGCGTTTATGGTGGTTTTGGTTTTGACGATCGCAACACCGAAGGTGAAAGGACACTTGAATTCTCAGTGGCCAATGGACTTGTCATCTGTAACTCCCTCTTCAAAAAGAGAGTAAACCATCTTATTACTTATCAGTCAGGAGGCTCCTCCAGTCAAGTTGATTATATCCTTGTCAGACGTCGTGACTTCAGACTTGTTTCCAATGTTAAGGTCCTTCCCTGTGAGTAATGTGCCCCCAAACACAAGTTGCTCATCTCTGACCACTAAGCCACGAAAACAAATTTTTACCCCCAAACTCCACACTTAGAAATTGAGAGATCCTGAGGTAAAGAACGAATTCCAGAAGGAGGTTGAAAGTATACTACACGACAATCGCGCTCTTTCAGTCGATGAAACCTGGCAGCTTCTAAAAGGTAGCCTACTGAAGGCAACTGATACAGTTTGTGGGTACACGAAGAAAGGTAAATAGAGGAAGCAGACTTGGTGGTGGGATGATTCTGTCAGTTCTGCTGTAGAAAAGAAAAGACATTTGTGGAAAACGTGGAAAGAGGGTGGCAGCAAACAAGAGTACCTTAAAGCTAAACACATAGCTAAGCGTGCAGTATATGCTGCAAAGAAGAAGGCAGAGGAGAGTAGATTCGCAGATGTTGAATCAGGGAAGGAAGACGTTATCCGTATCGCCAAGCAAATGAAGAAAGAAAACCAGGACATCGTTGGTAATAGTTGCGTGAAGGATGATCGGGGCAATCTCTCCCTCAGTGATGATGCCAAGAAAAAAGCGTGGAAAGAGCATTACGAGCGTCTACTTAACTTGGAATTCCCCTGGTCTGTTGAAGATTTACCTATGGCTGAACCTGTTGCTGGTCCCCCTATACTGGTGACTTCTGGGATGGTGGTTGAAGCAATCAACAAGATGAAGCCTGGCAAAGCCTCCGGACCTACTGGTGTCGTTGCTGAAATGCTGAAGGCCTCTACTGACGTTAGTTGTCCTCTCGTGTCCAATCTAGCGAACGCTATCATAGCTGAGAGGAAAATCCCCGAGGACTGGGATGATAGTTATATCATCAACCTGTATAAGGGCAAGGGTGAAGCCCTGGATAGGAGTAACTACAGGGGTTGGAAACTAGCTGAGCTTGTCCTGAAAGTCATTGAAAGGGTGATGGATAAAGTGATTCGTGATATTGTGGATATAAGTGAAATGCAGTTTGGTTTCGGGCCAGGAAGAGGAAGAAGTGATGCAATCTTTATTGTGCGGCAATTGCAAGAAAAATACCTCGCCAAAGACAGGAACTTATTTTTCGCCTTTGTTGATCTTGAAAAGGCCTTCGACCGTCTTCCGCATGAAGTTCTGTGGTGGGCTATATGACGACTGTGTTTGCCTGAATGGATAGTGAGCACAGTTCAAGCAATGTACCTGAATGATAAGCGCAGAGTTAGGATTAACAATTCATATAGTGATCAATTTAAAGTCTAGGTTGGAGTGCATCAAGGCCCGGTTCTGAGCCCGCTACTGTTCATTATTGTACTTGAGGCCCTGTCACGTGAATTCCGCACCGGTTGTCCTTGGGAACTGTTATACGCTGATGACTTAGTCATAACATCAAAGTCATTAAATGAGGTTCAACAGAATCTACACCTCTGGAAGTCTGGGCTGGAGTCGAAGGGCCTCAGCGTAAACATGGCTAAACCAAGATAATGATATCTGGTTCTAACCTAAACTCCCTGAGAGATTCTGGTAAGCATCCGTGTGGTGTTTGAAGGAAAGGGGTTGGCCGTAATTGCATCTTGTGCAGTGGGCTGTTCTCACTGGATCCACAAAAAGTGCAGTCATGTTCGTGACAAACTGTCCTCTGACCCCGCTTTTAGATGTAGTAGGTGCCTCGGCACAGCTTGTCCCATCGATGGCAGGCCCTGTGACCATGTGATGGTTGGTGACCATGCAGTGGCAATTGTCGACTCATTTTGCTCTCTGGGTGACACTCTCTGTCCTGGTGGCGGCTGTGAGGCTGCCACAATTACAAGAGTAAGAACTGCTTGGGGAAAATTCAGAGAGTTACTACCTGTCCTGTCATACAAGAGCCTGTCACTACACACCCATGTCAGGGGTGCCATGTTGTACGCCAGTGAATGTTGGCCTTTGAGGAAGAATGACATGCTGCGTCTAGGGAGGAATGAGCGTGCGATGCTGAGATGGATGTGTGGTGTGAAGCCAGAGGACAGAGTCAGCTCCGGTATCCTGCATGAGAGGCTTAAGATCTGGAATCCACCCCTTAGACGTAGGCGTTTGCGATGGTACGGCCATGTACAGCGGAGCAGCTCATGGATAAACACAGTCACCAGCCTTCATGTAGATGGATGTCAAAGAAAAGGAAGACCCAGAAAGTCGTCGAAAGAGCTTGTTAAGGAAGATCTGAGAGTGTGGAACCTCACAGATGAGGACACCCTAGACAGGGTTAAGTGGAAGAATGTTCTAAGAACCACCACGCAACGTCCAATCTGCTAGCATGTGGAACGTGGACGTTAAACGGATATGATGATGATGATGAACTTTCTGTTAATGCTGTTCAAATGCTCCTCTGCAACACACAAGTACACCGCGCGCACGCCGCTGTGCACAAACAACAACATTATAATTTGCACGGGAAATTATTACTAATAATAGGCGAAAGAGAGTAGAGAAACATTAAAACTTTGGAAGTAAATACATTTCGTATTTATTTACCATCATTTTATTATTGAGTGCCCGTGTCTATTCGTACATCGCGACTATCATTTACGACTTCAATAGTATCATCGAATCAGTTTAATATATCATAGCGCCCTATATATTAGCTGTTTTAAGTTACTGTAATAATTTGCGGACAGGCATGGGCAATGCGTCACTATTACTCACGTATTGGTATACTACACGTACGTGTGACATTACAACTCGTGGCGGCAGCTATTACCATACTGCACGAAGCCTTTCGTTATTTCAGGTTTGTGCACTGATAATTTCCTACGAGTTGCCTAAGCCGATGAGTCCAGTAGAAATGCACACACATAACTTTGAGTTTTTTCTGATAATCCGATTTTCTAAAGCCCGCACTACATTCTTCAACTCACGCATCGCTCTTATATGCTAGAAAATCTCGCATTTTAAAATTCAAATTTATCTGAATGAGAAAAGCTAAATTCACATAATCACAAAAGCCAATACAGTAAAAACCCGCGTATAAGAACCTAGATTTTTCCAAGTTAGCCTCAATAGGTTCTTATATAAATGATGCTTACTGAAAAATTAGGCTCAAAAGGTTCTTAAATAGGTTCTTGTTTCTACTTTTAATATGTATAAGCTTATACTTGATTCAAATTGTGTTAAAATTTGCTTACACGGACTGCAATTTTTGCTAATTAATACCCATGATGGGCTACAGTGTAAGTTTTTCAGTGCTTATCATACTGTATGATACAATATGTATCCAAGGAAACAAAACAACATGCAAAAAGATGCGTGCCAAAAAGCTATAGATACAGCCAAGAGCAAAATGTATAAAAGTTTACCAAATTTAATAAATCGCTACAATGCTGGCCAAGAGAAGGACCTTGAGATCCCTGTTGACTATAGGTTGGTTGGAGATAGGGATTACTTGAAGAGGTTCACAAGGAAACTTCAAACCAAAGAATTTGCTGAAGAACTCAGTATTAGTGACATTAGAAAGTGCTAACCAGCATTCAACACAGCTCTGTGATTGTTTTTATTCAACAAAACAATACATCTGCTGGTCTATTGGATTCTGAATGGACATACAGTACTGTAATGTGGAAACAATACATCTGCTTATTTCTCATGTGCTGACAAGAACTATGTTTCACTGAAGAGATGCTTGGGCTTGTATTCTTGTTTGATAATATTTTACATTTGGAGATATATGTAGGTAATGCAGTACTGTGTCTCAATAACAATGCCAGGGTGCTGGCACATTCATCGATATTGTTGAGCTCATCTTTTTTATTTTACCTGTGTTTCTTTTTAAGTCTTCATCTGCATAGAAAATTAAGAACCTACTTTAAAATCTTAGCCTAAAACAGGTTCTTATGTAACGGGGTCTAAATGGGAAATTTTTTGCCTAACAGGTTCTTAAAATCTAGGTTCTTATACGCGGGTTTTTACTGTATATGATTATATGTAACCATGACGACATAACGTGAGTAATGCTTCTATGGTCGCAATAACGCCAGCCAAATGCGCAGTAGGCCTACGTACGTAATCAGTTGTAGAATGATGAAAGTGAACAGTGAATAGTAATCTTTGTTGAATTTACATGAATTTTTAAATATATCATTAATAATACGATTTTAGCATCGTTCTCACATCGTTCTCTGGAAAGGTTTTGTCATGACGAACCTATATATAAGAAAAAATCTCAATATTATACAAGTAACCCTACAGAATTACAGTTGGGTGTATATGAGTGAGTGTGTGGGCGTGTTCGCACGTGAGGGCGCGCGTGCGTGCGTGCGTCCGTACGTGCGTGCTTCCGTACGTGCGTTCGCGCGTGCCTACGTAATCGTTACCTCGCATATTTTTTCCAATGACGATACGAAGTAATCGTCGCAGACGATGGCGAGGGCAAGGAACATGTAGAGCACGACTAGGATGTGTATGGCGACGGCTCCATGCTTGCGCTGCTGGTTAGTAAACGCGTCCGGCGGGAACTCGTGATACGCTAGAGACGCAATCAAAGTAATTAAAAACATATCGATTTTGCGCGCATCGAATGAAATTGCTTGAATTGATAGATTGAAAACGATTGAATAGTCCAGTCGCGCCGTGTATAAAAGCTGCATAAACTAAACTAACCTAACCGCATTTACTAGCGCGCGAGCACTGTGGTATTTCGAAACAACATTTACTCCGATGATATATTTTTACGTTCGTTTAGTCATCGCCGCGTTCGCTTACCCGGAGGCGTGCAGTGCGGAAGCTTCGACGATGACGTGTTTGAGATGTCAAAGCTTCGATTACCGCCGTCAAGATTGTTATCAGTGACACTGGTGTTCGTCTCCAGCAGTCTCCTTAGCAAGACGATGGAACTCCCTAACCGGCTCGATTCCTCGAACTCCGGCGCCGAATTTTGCCGATCTGCAATGTTGAATGACAATGATAAGTTTGTCGCGAGTCAGTCGAGTTCGTCTGTTCGGCCTTGTTTGCCTACACGTCGGTTGCAGATCAAACAAAACAGTATATTGACTTCGACAAAACGCTGCTCGTCTGTTGATTGTAAGCCTCGATCAAATGTGCAGAGTTCATGTTATGTTCAGAGAGTTCACGGTGTGCTAGAGAGTTCGTCTGGTGACCAATATTACCATCACAGAAATGAAGTGATAAGTCTGAATCGAATAGCATCCGTTCCTTTGTACGGCGTTACAGTGACAACATTGTTGGTCATCGACAGCCTGGTCAACACAGGCCGACGATTATTTTACAGGCCGTCAGTGAGGTGTTGAAAAACAAATGATATTAATGTCGGGAAGTAAATGGCTGATGTGTGAAAATTCACGTGTTAACGGAAAAGATTCAACGTGTATTCGTAAATTACGTAAAATCACGTAAATCGTAAAATCACGTGTTAACACGTCACGTAAAATTCGTAAATCACGTAAATTCAACGTGTTAACGGACAGATGTGAAAAACAATATTATGTTAGAGGCTAGATGTTATAGCCAAAAGGCGTGTTTTCAGAAACTGTTATCAACCATTGTTACTGTTACTTTGTTAACTGTTATTACCATTATTAGCCTAAGACGTAGCAATCTTTACACAAAATCTTATATGCAAAGGTTCTTACATCCTAAACTTGATATTTCTGACAACTAACCCATATGTCAAAAACCACGTGTTAAAATTCTGGTATCGAATCGGTAAGCGTGAAATGACATTTGCTCTATAGGTTGCTGTGTGTGCTCTAGCCACTAGCATGAAATGATAGTTCACACTAGCCATGAAATGATAATAACGATGATATCGTCAACGACGACGACGATGATGATGGTCATAATTCTTGTCGTGATAATGATAATGATAATAATGATGGTGATGATGATGATGATGATGATGATGATGATGATGATGAAAACGATAATGATAATGATGACGATGCTGCCGCCGCCGCTGCTGCAGGTGATGACAATGAAGTGGTTTCATTGGGGGCATGATATAGTATAATGTTCTATAGACTTGATAGCTAAATAGATATATAGATAGACAGATAAATAGATAGATAGCATATAGTCGTATAGAGAATAACAATTTATTTCCTGGTTTCGATTAGCCATGTATCCGTATCACCATAGATCACACAGCATAAAAATGTGATAAAATTAGTAACTCCTGCTATAATACTCTCTTCCAATCTTTACATAGATATCCAGTGGTTTGCAATAATTTCCTATCAGGAATACTGACGATAGAGTTGTGCGCCGCACCTAAGCAATTTGTGTAATGATTTTTATTTTATTTATTTATATAAGCATGGGCATTATTTATAGATGATTGATCATAGATAGAACCACTTCGCTGTAAATATAATATAATGATAACATTTCACGATTCACGAACATATCTCGCTAGATGCGTGCCTCGCTCTACGATTGCGTTTTTACAGTTAACACGGTGAGCGGAGAAAGAGAGAGAGAGAGAGAGAGAGAGAGAGAGAGAGAGAGAGAGAGAGAGATGAGAGAGATTGCGAGGGTAGGTGTAAGCCCGTGACATATGATAAAGAGACGAGTTCGGATTTGATTGACAGATAGGTAATGCAGGAAGTAAATAGATTGGATAATAGAATGTGAGAGTACGATAGAGATATAAATGCACCCTGCGAAAATTATAGATAATATCAGATATATATATATATATATATATATATGTGTGTGTGTATATATATATATTTATATAGTCCGGCGTGGGACTTCCTATTACATTTTCCCCATAGCTGCAGTGAGGGCATCCCCTAACCCAATATTGTCAGCAAAATAATTATATACAAGCAGGAAAGTTTCCACAACGAAACCGGTAGAAGGAAGAAGCGATGTAGGCCTATACACGCACGCACGCACGCACGCACGTACACACGCACGCACGCATGCATGCATGCATGCATGCACGCTACGCTCACACAAGTACTGGCTGCACGGTTCGTGGCAATAATCAATACCAGTGAAAGTGGTAACCGAAATTAGCACTCTCCTCTCTCTATACGAGTCGTCTATATGTATGCCAATCTCTCGGAACAGAGCTGAGCATATATAGCAAATTATTACACCTGTGGTAACTACGAGGGGGGGGGGGGGGTGGGGGGGGGGGGGGGGGGGGGGGGGGGGGGGGGGGGGGGGGTATAATATATGACAGTAATAATAACTGAAATAGAACCGCATACGAGTAGGAGCACACGCGTTATCTATAGCACACCGTATTACACGAATACGTAATTACAGGTGTATTTATAGCTGCCGATAAACCATGTGAGCATCTACAGGTGGGATACCAGCGAGGCATGCCAGGGTTACTAACTCATTATACCGTTCGACACTAAACCCTAGAAAAGCCTCTGTATACGCGAATATGGTCGATTCGTACTCAATGTATTACCGCCGTGGTTTCCGAGACAGGTATGTAGGATTAAACAGAGGTTTCACTAGGCTAGTTGAGACGGACGCCGAATTAGCAGAAAAGATGAAAATGATGAAAATTGATAGAAAATTCACTGGCAGCGTGATCTCGTCTCCCCACCACGCTCACGCTAGCAGAACACACACACACACACACACACACACACACTATATATATATATATATATATATTATATATATATATATATATATGTAGGCCTATATCACGAGCATATGTACATTGTACAATGTATTGTATTTATGTGTATTTATGTGTATTTATGTATTTATGTTTTGTATATATTTATGTGTCAGTGTGCGCGCAATGGCTGCGGCGTGTGTTTACAGTTGAAACGCTTCAAGTGCCTGTGCATTGTACAATGTATACAATGTAATCATTGTACAATGTATTATACAACGTACTGTATTACAACTATTAATACAAATAATACATGTATGATTAGCTCTTGATGTATATATATATATAACGTATATAACTTGTTATATGTAATACGTATATATAATTATATAAGAGATCGTAATCTCTTCATGGGCGTCCGTGTGTTGTTCCTTATTATATATATATATAATCAAGAGTATAATGTGTGTGCGCGTGTGTGTGCGAGCGTGCGTGCGTGTGCGTGTGCGTGTGCGTGTGCGTGTGCGTGTGCGTGTGCGTGTGCGTGTGCGTGTGTGTGTGCTGCAACGTGAGCGTGGTGGGGGTGGGGGGGATGGCTTGATCTCACTGCCAGTGCTACCACTGTCTACACTCGCTAGCAGTGATCGCAGACGAAACCGTATAAAATTTCGAAATCACGCTAAGTTTCTTATTTTCTTCTTAGAACAATACAGGATACACTACAACAATTAATACAGGATACAGCGTACGTGGCCATGTATCTCGATGCGTCCCGCCCTCGATTATAATCATCGGACGTTTCTATAAAGGTGTAATCGAGCAGGCGCGTATAGACAACGCTGCTCGAAGCTCCGTAACTAGTTACACTAATAGCTGAGCTATCAGCGACATCACTTCCTGCGCTGTCAGTTCTAACGTGCCGAATGCGCCATCATATTCGTAATTATGAGAGTAAAATGGCTCAGGCCAATCACTTTAGCCGTCAGCTATGGCAATTTTTTTTTCTGAATTTCGATTTCCCCATCGTACGGCTCGTATTGCTAACGGCATCTACCTACCCCCCCCCACCCCCCCGCAAAAAAACCTGCCGAGGCTCAGTATCTGTGATATGACATTAACAGAAATCCGTGAATTAGTATCTGACAATATGCTTAAATCTGTGCACGGGGGGGGGGGATCGAAGACGTACTGTCGTTAACGACGACCACCGACCACAACAGCGTCGGATTAGCGAATAATGAGAGTAATTTTAACCGCGATCATTACCAGCGGTGGGCGTGCCTACTCGGCCAAACCCATAATCAACAAGTTCGGATGTCGCGTTCTTCGAGTCTCGCTTTCACTAATTAGCGATTCGTTTTCTCGATGTTTGATCATTTTCGAGAGCTAATTCGCGACATTGCTGATTTTCTTCGTCGTTTTCAGACATATTTGCTTCCTGAGAATGTGGATTACGATACATATGCATAGAACAATCGATTTTCATGCTGCAGCTTGTCGAGTAAGATATTTCCTATCTTCTGCGTGTGTGCTTCCGTGTGTGTCATACATAATGCGGCGTTTTTCTTGCTGCCATTGGCCGCCATCGTTTCTTCTCATCTCCATCTCCCGCTTCCTCTCTCCCCATCCCTTCCTTCCCTTACCTAGTTAATCTTCCTATTTTCCACTTTTTTTACGCGCGCGTTCTCTCTCTCTCTCTCTCTCTCTCTCTCTCTCT